TTCAGGCTGGCCTTGAGCTCAGTTTGTAGCCCAGGCTGGCCTCGAACTCGCAATGATCCTCCTTTCTCAGCCTACCAAGTGCTGCGATTACAGGTGTGCACCACCACACCCGGTTAATATTTAAACTTTTACCTCTGTAAAATGAGAATGATAATTATAGAACACAGCTCATAGGGTTGCAATAAAGTGAAGTAATATGTACAGAATACTTGGTCTGCTCTCCAACATACTGCAAGTGTAAGCATCTGCTTTTGTAGCTCTTTCCAATGGTATTTCCCAGTCTACCCAGTTTATACCTGCACAGAATGGACTTCTAATAGAGATTACAGCTTTCAGATCATTCCCTCCTTTTCTTTTCTTTTTTTCTTTTCTTTTCTTTTCTTTTTTTTGGGGGTGGTACTGGGAATCAAACATAGGACCTTGTGCTTGCATTCCCTCCTTTTCTTGATAGTCCCTCCAACAAAAGGCCCTTTCTCTTTTAACTGGATTTTAAATCTCAGCAAACTTTTGAAGTCTAAAAGTTTGTCAAAATTTCTAAAGCATGCCTATTACTTAGGACCATCTGATACTTATATTGTTTTAGGTACTAAAATATGGAAGTTTAAAGTACAGAATCCGGAGCCAAATGGCATAGGTTTAATTCCTGCCTCTTCAACTTGTTAGCTATGTGACCTTGGTCAAGTTATTTAACACTTTTGCGACTTAGTTTCACCAATTATAAAACAGAGACAACAGATTGAATATATAGTATTCAGTGGACATTATTTGAAGATTGATTGGGAACAATGTTGGACACAAATGCTATAATAGCATTTATGATCATTATTATTTTTCATGTTTATCACTACAGTGTATACATTTTATATTCCTAAGAAAATTATAAAAACTATCTGGGAACTATAGGTTTCACTTAAATTTTCTTTTGTAATGTCCAACATGTTAAGATGTAGTTGATAACACAATGTAGGAATCTGCTAAACATTCAGTGTCTGGGAGCCCATTTACAGTCTGGTTAGCCTGGTAATGGGAAAAATCAATTCTTGTCTGCCTACCACTTTCCAAGAATTTTTCTAAACAAATTATGTACATTACAACATCCAATTCTTATAACTCTCCAATGAGAATTCAGTTAGCTACTGGGAATTCAGTTAAGTTACTTGACCAGGAAGAGCCAAAGAGTGCAGCAGTTAGGAAGTCCTTGCTTAAAAACAGGAATGTTTAAACTTTTGTATGCATCAGAATCAGCCAAAGAAATGGTTATAACACAGATGACTGGGAACCACACCCACTGCTCTGATTCAGTGGGTGTGGCTGATGTTCAAATTTTGTATTTCTAACAGTTTTCTAGGCAATTACAATGACGCTGTTCTGAGGACATTCTTTTAAAATGACCACAGTAGATGACTTTCTTTCCTCTATGCTAAACAGTTTAAGGAGCACTTGGAAAAGAGACTTGTAAACTGGAAGTTGACCTACTCTATTTTATAACATGTGAAAAGATACAGCTCTTTCTTTAAAAAGACAGAATAGAATGCTAGAAACTTATGGAGAAATTGAGCTTTAAAAAAGAAAGAAAGGTGTTTGTGGAAAGGATAATAACTTGCCTGTAACATACAAATTCTCAGTGAATATTAAATTACATAGACATTTGACTTGGTATAAAAATCTCCCAACTTCTTATTAAATTAACAAACCCTTAACCATTAGCAAATCCAGTAAACCAATCCATCTGGCAAGAGAGGCTTGCAGTGGCCTCAGACAACAGAGGGTAGGAGACTGCGCTGCACAACCTCAGATTCTTCAACGGGTGGATTAAGTTAGATACAAGGATATTAAGGAGGGCCAGGGATATAGCTCAGTGGAACAAGTGCCTGCCAGGCAAGTGCAAAGTCCTGAGTTCAATTCCCGGTACTCACACACACACAAAAAAAGAATATTAAAAAAACTTTCAATTTTCTGTAAGATATTTTATACTGTTTTGAAGTTATCAGAGTCAGGTTGATTCTTGATATGGTCAACCATAGCAAGGAAATCAAGTGAAGGAAAAAAGCCCCCCATTTTTGCCCAAGGCCCAGGTGTCATACAGTTATTTCAATTATTCATTCCTCCCTATCTGTAATTTGTTAATAAATTCTGTACTTTCACTACATGAACAAACTGACCAGATTTTCTGACTTAATACAAATAGGAGACTGAAAATGATTTTCCTACTTGAGTTTCAGTAAAAGTTTGCCTTTCTCTACACTTAATATGTTAGTGTCGTGAACTCATCTTGCTGAATTAGACCCCTTCACTTTGCTGTCTTGGTTATTTTATTCTTGGCTTTTGTGCCTTAAGGTACCCATGACATGATATGGTACAAATGTCAAATGAACAATAAATCACACTAAATTATTCCTCCTTATGCTCAATCTTCTCTTTTTGTGCTCTTAGACATAAAAAGAGAGGAGAATAAAAGCTAGAGCTGTCACCAATGTTAGAAAGTTCTCAAGTGGACATGTAGAAATTCAGCAATCTGGGATATAATTCACTTAAACCTGAGCTAATGAGTACCTATCTGAGGATGTGTGGGAGGAAAACAAGGAGGAAAAAACCAGTACAAATGAAAAGTCGGAATGACTAAGGAAACCACACAGGGAACTCTCTCTCCGTAGTCAAAGTTGAAATGATACACATGTGCGACATCCGAGAGAATGTTCCGAAAGCTGTCACCATGGCAGATCAGTCATGTTAGTAGTAGTCTAAAGGTGTTGACACCAAACATAAAATAGGTACTAAAAGGACACAACCAAATTAAACATAAACAATATGAAATTTGTGAAGGCCACAATATAGTGAGAATTGAGTAAGCATATAAAAATGGAGAAATATGATCTCAGGTTTTATAAAATCTCCTAAAATAGATCCAAAAATGATAGACGATGGAATTAAGAATGAAGGATGTTTAAAAAATATTTTCTATATGTTCAAGAAGGTTCAAAAAAGCAAGAACATGATTGATGTGTAACAATTTTTAAAAGAATGAAATTTCTAGACATGAAAACACCTGAAAATTAAATTAAAAATTACTTTTCATGGGGTTAACATCAGAGTACATAGTAAGAAAATATCAGAGAACTTGAACCTATATCAATAAAATTATTCAGAGTAAAGAACAGAAAGAAAACTAAGAAAAATGAAATAATAGAACAATGACTTCTGAGATCTTATCAAGTTGTCTAATATTGTTGAAATACATAGTAGGACAAAATAATCAAAGAAGTATAAAAAAGTCTTTCAAAATCAGTGGCCAAAAGTATTCAAAATTTTATGTAAACTATTATTCTGTAAATCCAGAAGTACGGCAAACTCTAAGCAGAGCAAACCTAAATAAAACTACAAAACCCCACATACTAATCAAGTTAGAAAATCATAAAACTATATAGAGACAGAGGAACAAAGACAGGAATTTCATTGGGCTTCTCACCAGTCATCATGACATGGATAGAATGACACTCAAAAGTACTGGTGAAGAGAACTGAATGTAAAGAGGGACTGAGTAATTTTTATACTGATAACAATATTCAATATCTTTAACTGTGCTACCAATTTCTATTGGTTTATAGAAAGGAACAGTTAATGTTTAATTGTTTGATCAGTCTTGCATACATATATCTGGTAATCTTAGCAGCTACTTTTGAGGATAACAATAAGTAATACGACAACCATTGCTGGTTTTCTATCACCTTGTTTTGAAATTCTGTATCATTTTTATAGTTTTTGGGTTGTTCTGCTTTTGCCCTTGGTTTTGTTATTTTCTCTTTAAAATAAAAAAAGAATTTAAAACAGGAAAAAAACACTCAGTGTCTTAATTATAATGGTTTAAAAGTATTCATTCTCAAAAATAAAATATATAATATGAAATTTAGCATAATATGTAATATATAACACAACACATAATATATATTATTATGAATATAA